CCTTTTTTGTTTTCGTGACGAAAGATAACTAGATCAAATTTATAAAGAATTATTCAAAGAATGCTTATACCTCATATAACGATTGGTGGTAAACGTGTCGACTGATTATTAGATACCACAAGAAAGAACCACAAGGACAAATTTTCACATGTCTGGATTCGACATTCGAAACAATTTGCCAAATTTTGGTCGAAGAGCCCAATATGTAAGGGGAATCCACAACTGCAGCTCAATGTTACCTGATGATCGCCAGTGACGTACACCCTTCTGTGTTAATGTATCATATTTATTTTTGTTAGCTTTATCAGGGTCTCGCTCTGGTGAGGTCTTGACGCTTTTACTTATCGATTTTCAAGACCAACTGAGTTATTTAGTGTCAAAAGCTTAATTTCGTTCACTTTGCAGCTGTGGCATCTTGTTGTGCTGTACGGATATACTGGGGCTTGCGTGGATTTAGTTGTAGTAAAATTTATGATCATGTAGTGCAGATATATATGAATAGGGCAGCTGAGGTGATCAGCTTACTTTTGCTTTCAACTCTGCTACATTTTACCATAGGATTTACATGTAGGCCATGCAGCAGTTTGGCAAGTTCCACAACAGCCATCAATTCGACTACATCTCACCTTATACCCGCTGTAATTGTCATACAGACTCCGAAAAGTGTTGCGGTACAACATTCCTATCAATTTTTCTTACTGCAATGACACATTCAGAGTACATTATACTTGTCGTTATCAGCAAGTAAAACACCTTCACATGGTATTGCTTACTTTGACATTATTGTGTACACGTCCTTCTCAAATGGATAAGTAAATCGCTCTGAACGAGATGGTAGGTGTAAAGATACTACTCAGTCAATCTCTCGATACTCAGAGTAATGCGGCAACAATTGAAAAGACGTGACACAACTAAACTGGAACTGACTTGAAAAAAGTACGCCTTTTGTCGATTTGCTAATCAAATTTATTTTTTTATTTTTAATGTAGAGCATTGATCACCAGTTGCATGAGATTGACGTAAACATTGAACAATTGATGCTCACAATGTCGTTCGAAGACATATTGAAAGCGCCAAGCGGAAACACTCACACCGAAATTGAATGAAGCACATGAAAGGTCAAAATATTACCTCTACGGTGCTGGTAGACGACAAACCCACCTTCGGTATCTCTCTTGGTAAAACGTACTTTAGAAGGCATTAAACCTACGTATCACGAATTTTAGTTGCCGATTGTACAAGCACGGTGAACGCGTACAGCCTTCCGCTCCTTAACAGATTCTTTTACGTGTGCTTACCAAACTTTAACGCGGTTGTAAAATGCATGGATGATCAAGCTTTCGTCGTTTACGTTTGAACAATTTGCGAGATCTTCCTACCTCTTCTGCAGCATTCAAACAACTCGTTGTCGATTGCGATTGTGGACTTGTGAAGTAGACGAAAAAGAAATGAACAAGCGCATTCATTATCATCTCCCATTTTAATATTGCAAAGATCGTCATACCCTGATGGCAAAGAGGTTATCCGGATGCTGACGAGGGGATCCGGACATCACTACTGTTCTACTGGAGTGGTAGTTACATGATCCTATAAAGACAGTGCCGGCATTTGCGCTAAGAATTTAGTATCTATCACGTTTGTTATTTGATTATATAGTATTGTTTACATATAGCATATTCAAAATTTATACAGGAATACAGAGCTGTAGCTTATCCGATAGAGACAACTTTTTTCTTCGGTATCACTGGGCTTCGTTCACCTAGCTCCAGCATTTTTTATCAAACCATTTCTCTCTTGTGTAAAGAGAACATCATAACGCGTTAATAGCACCACATGTGATTACTACGAGCTTGTATCCAGAGATGTCAAGTAAAACAACAATCATATGGAAGCGTTGGATAAACAGAAATGTGAAATATGCACAAACCTTTTCGACGACCTGATCTCGAAGCTGCATCGACTTGTTTCATGTCACGATTTTTTGCTCTACAAGAAGCAGTAATAACTCGAGCTCGATCGTTTAGTCTTTTACGCTGCGTGGGTTACCACGCAAAAGTCTACGGTATTACCTGCGCGCACGTTATCGTTGTAGGCACATCGATCTAAAACAACCAATTGAACTAAGTAATTTTTCAAAGCAGTGAAGTGAGAAATTTGTTTCATTCTCGTTTTGTACAGCGACGATAACACAAACTGCCTCAACCCATTTGTATATTATACATATATGGCATCGAACCACCATTTTGCATTCAGAAGGTAAGTTTTCGCTAGCTGTCACACCAAAAACCAATGAAGCGGAAGCCTTCGGAATTCAAGTGTAACGGGGCACCCTTTGTCTGGGTGCCACGAAACTTCACGTACACTAGAACTTGCAGAGGAAGCTAGTCTACTTGAACGACTCGGTCAAGTAAAGGTAAAAAGAGAACTGTATTTAATAGAGTTAAGCCATCAATATAACTGTAATCTTCATATAACTTATATTCTACATTGCCGTATGACGACAACCTGCTCACCACTCATTGCGCGCGTCTAGCAGCGATTTGTGGCAATCTATGGTTGATATGTCTTTTATCAACCAATCTTGGAGCAGCGCATAAATATTATCTAAAGGGGATAAGATTCCTTCAACATTATCCATCTTGGATAATATCGGTAGGATATTGTCATACTAGACAATTTTTCAATTGACACCGTTTGTTGTCAATATCATGTAACGGGCTACCCCGTAACATCACCCCCTCTAAAAAGCATTCACCCGTTGATTGAATTAGAATTGATTGGGTCAGGGTGACCACCGTTGGATCACTCTCGGATAGGGTGCACTTGTTGTTCAGACACCATTCGTTTGCCAATTCCGCGAGCTGCTACTGCAGCAGCAAGAAGGGCGGCTGCACGCATGCGTGCGGCCGCGGAAAGTGTCTATCACACGTCAGCAGCAGGTGATTAGTTGCCTGTTGTTGTGAACCCTTTACGTAATGAGTCATTACGTGCAACAGGTACATCCGTTGCGTCTGCAGCGGGTACCACGATTCGTAATCAAGATGAGTCTGAGATAGAGCTCATCTATTCTGGCGAGTCGGACGATGCATCCGACTCGAAGGCGACTCCTTACGCCTCCGGACACCCGAGGCGGACACTGCAATAGCCAGGATGACTGGCTCAGGTCAACGCAGCGGTATCATGTCGAGATCTTCGTAACGAGCGATTGTTACAACGAATGCTAGCCTCACGCGACTCCATCCAACGATCGGATGCGTGGGGACGGTGGTGGTGTAACTATACATCACCACGAGCAAAGTGATTCGAGGGATCGAGCTGCCACTGGTTTCAGTGCTCAAGCTGACACCAATCAAGCGGCCAGGGACCGAAATGTCCTTCGACACGCTCCTCAAGTGGAGTCTCCTTGGATGCCGCCATCCAGAAAGTTGGACCGGTTGGCCGACATGACCACCGAACGGGATCGAATCCCGTTGTTAGATTGCAGGAATATTTGCCCTCCTAATTCCAGCACGGAAACTATCCGTGCTGAGGAAGAATTCTGCACCGGTGCGTTTTTCAAACATCGGTGGTACAACGGTAGCCGTGGTCGAGATAGCAAAGTCTTGGTGCAAGGGTGGAATGCCCTCATCCACAACGTCGAGTGCATTGACCGTGAGGCCTGGCTCTGTAAACTTGATGCAGCTCACACCAGGTTAGAGACGCAACTCAGTCGGGGCGCGATGCAAGTTGCACCGGCTTTCAAGAGAGGCAGCGTTACCCTGTCTCTCGTGGGGCGATTCGCGTCTAGGTTGCCTGGAAAATGCAAATTGTGCCCCTAGAGAGGCCTTCCTCCATAATGTTTCCTACTGGAGGGACGCATCTCTTCTGAGATGACCAAAGGGATTGACACTTTGTAATCCCTGTACTCGCGTTCGGGGAGGTCGTTTTCCGACGGCCCTTCTTCGAACGCAACGGGTGGGTCTCGTCGTATTGCTCGGCGAGATCAAGGAAATCAACGATCAGCTGGGAACGGGGCTCCCAGCTGTCCTAAGACGGTTGATAGCCACTCCAGCGGACGAGATTACTCATCCAGACGCCATTCACGTCGCGGTGGTTCAAAATACGCTCTACCATAAAGCGTTGACCACCTCCAGAATCTACCAAAGGATTTGGTGGCGGTGGGAACACCTGATCCGCTCGAGGGTCGGATCAGCTTAATGTTCAAGAGATGAACCGTGTAATGGAACAGTTGCAAGATGACCCGGCTCATCAACAGACTCGGCGTTATGGACTTGAGGATCTTGTAAGGGATCGTTATAATTCCCTAATGCACGATCGTTCGAAAGATCGTGCCGCCTTTGCGTTCGCGCAACTTGAGAACGAACGTTCGACTCGTTCTCTTCGTGACGAGCTGGCTGCAGCTCATCAGGACATCGCTGAACTGCGCGAACAGGTCGCTTCGCTAGTCGACCAGACTGGCTCGTTGAAACGGGACCACTCGAAGGTGGTCTCGGCCCTTGACCGCGGAGGTGTTCTTCGCATCTCCAAACGGGCTCGTACTGATAGTACGGGCGGATACGACCGACGTAAATCGTAGGATGCGTACGCATCTTACGGGACAGTTCAATCGTGTGTGCATTGCCCATTAAGTGCAACACACGAAATTGACCGATGTACTTGGGCAGTAATTTACTGCTGCCCATGTTTGTCACTAAGTGTTTTGGCTGATTTACTGTAGACAGTAAAACTAAATCTCCTTCGTTAAATGAAAGAACGTTTGGTCTTCCATGTTTGTCTGCGCTTCTTTCCTACTTGTCTATTGCGTCTGCAATAGGATCTTGAATGAAGCGTACAACCGCTTCGTGAGTCAGCAGAAATTCCACTGCTGTTTCATCCTTGTCAACAGCAGTGCACTTCTTGTGCACGCTGAAAGAACTTTGTCTTCACTAGTGAGGGCGTCACCGTCCTTACTGTGGCAGTCGTTGGCGATACTGAATATACCAGCATCGTCGTCATCATCATCATCGATGCGTAAACGAGTGGACGTACCCTCGAAGTATCTCTTCGAGAACGCGGTTGACGCGTTCCGTCTGACCATCTGTTTCGGGATGGTCAGAAGTTGACATCGTCAAACTTGTGCCAAGTGAACGGAACACGGATTGCCAGAACTCCGCTGTGAAGCGGGGGTCCCTATCGGACACGAGTTCATGGGGTAAACCGTGCATTTGGAAGATATTATCGATGAAGGCACGAGCACAGCCCTGGGCTGTGATTGACTCCAGTACTGCAGCAAGATGGTACATCTTGCTGAACCGACCAAAAAACACAAGAATACCAGTATTCTTGTGAGCTTCCTTGGGAAACCCGAAGACGAAGTCCATCGATACGGACTACCAGCACTCAGACGGAATCGGTAGAGGCTGAAAGGCTGCACGGGATGAAGAAATAGGCTTCACCCGTTGACAAACTTTGCAAGCGCGAATGTATGAATGTGCGCACAAACTCATTCTGGCGGGGCCAAAAGAAGTCACGACTCACCGTGAGGTAAGTCTTGTCTCTACCGCGATGCCCACTTGGTGGGAAATCGTGACACTCACACATGATGCGCAATCGCAAATCATCATGAGCCGGAACGACGACACGAGGTGTGTCGCCGTTGACTGCTGTATAGTGCAGCAGTCCATCACGAACAGAATACCGTTCGGTCGAAGAGTGATATTGAGACGTCAAGCTTTTCAAAGCTCTACTACGTAGATTAGACACGTAATCCATCACTCGCAGAATAGGCTCATCTTCTGCGTATAAAATTCCATCAATTTTTCACGTTCTTCAAATCCCCAAAAATAAGGTGTCATTGCTCCTACATATTCTTTTCGCACATCGTCGAGCAGATTCGACGACGGAACATTCACTGTTAGCGTCGCGACGGTGGGATCACCCCGACTGCTGGGTTGAGCAGTCGGCTCGAAATCGGGCCGACGTGAAAGAGTATCAGCGACGACATTCAGTCGTCCTGGTTTACGCTCGACGGAGAAGTTGTGCTTCGCGAAGAAATCCAGCCACCTCGCCAGTCGTTGCGAGAGGTGTGGACTGTTTACGGCCGTGCGTAACGACGCATGGTCGGTATGAACGATGAGGGGCCTATCTCCTAAGCGATATACTCGAAACTTGGCCAGTGCATACTTCATGGCAAGGAGTTCCTTGTCATGCACCGGGTAATTACGCTCAGCTGCTTGCAGCTGACGCGAATGATAATAGACGACGCGCTCAACGCCGTCTGAGTCGTACTGCATCAACGCGCAGCCGATCGTAAAATCGCTGGTGTCACAGACCACATGGAATGGTCTGCCTTGGTCTGCAATCGCCAACACAGGCGATTGTGCCAAGCTTTTCTTGATAACTTTAAAGTAGTGCTGACACTCAGCACTCCATGACCACCTCTCATTTTTCTTTAGTAGACGAGAGAGATGTACGGTCATATCGGCATAGTTGCGCGAGTACTTGTGCAAGTGCGCCGCCAAGCCAAGGCCTATCCGAAGTCCCTTGACGTCACTGGCACAGGCCAGTCGCTAATCGCATTTATCTTTCCGGATCAGGGCGTACACCGTTTTTTTCCACGATGTAGCCAAGAAGTGGTATTTCGTTCGCTACGAAGATACACTTCTTGAGGCTCGCGAACAACTTATGCTCTCGCATTAGCGTAAGAACTTTCCGGACGTGGATTCTATGAACCTCCACTTCCGTCTTTACATCCATATCCCGGATATGAACGAAGACATCTTCGAAGTAACTCGGTGCGAAGTCCCGCACCGATCGCAATAGATTCGTAACACATCTGTTGAACGTTGCAGGGGCGTTACTTAGCCCCTGTGGCATCACTAGCCACTCCCAGAGCATACCACTGGGAGTGTCCACTGCTGTGTACCGGATCTCCCGTTCACGCATGAGGATCTGATGATAGGATCTGATAGAATCCATCTATCAGATCCATGGACGAAAAGGTGGTACTCTTTGCCAAAGTATCTGTGATGATGTCCTTCCTTGGGATCGGCGTTTGAGCCGGTACCGTTGCAGCGTTCAGTTTGTTGAACGCGTGCACTATCCGCCACCCTCATGTGTCCTTTCGCGCACAGAAGGTCGGAGAGCTGTGTGGGGATGTTGATTCTCTCAGATGGCCAGCCGCTAAACAATCGGCAAAGAATTTGTCGATTGCTGTGACCTGTTCACGAGGCAGTGGTCACTAGTTCATGACATAATATTTCGAACCAGGTTTCATTTCGATCTCATGCCGAGTGCCTTTGTCCTTGAGCAGCTCGCATGGCACGGATTCGGGAAACACCCCTGAATTCAACCAAATCGTTATACGAAGGATTTATCTCCAAAGACTCCCAAGATTGAGACGTGTACCGCTCAATCCGAGTCTTCTCATCGAGGACACTCTCGTCCATCGATGAGCTACTGAGAACCCGTTAGTTCTCAGCAAACACTTGTGCCGACCGAATATCGGCGACGTACTCGTCCTCTGTGACGAGTACGCATATCTGCTTGATCTTGTCACTACACAGATCTCGCAAGAATCTTCTAGAATTCTAGCGTTGGCAACTTGATTACTTCCGAAGCTGACTTCGGAGGTGTAACCAGATCAAGCGCATAAGCGCCTACACTTGATCCGTCATTCACCAAGACATTCACTGTCTCGGTGATTTTCTGGGGAAAACACATTCGCAGGTGGTTGGGATACACCTTCAACATAATTCTCTCGGGAGTTATTGCTCTCAGGAACGCCGGAAATTTCTTCCGATACGGGTACTATCACGGTCACGTCCTCTTCGATCGACTCTCTTTCAGTCGAGCGGGCTTGCTCGACGATCGACTCTCTGATAGTCGATCTCGCTTCAACGTGTTGTCCATACTGAACAACACTGGTCTCTCTTCTCGGATGCAACCTTCTTGGTGTGCATTCGTGTTCCAGTCCACTCTGTCTTTTCGAGTGGTGAACCTTCGGCGCAGCCTGTGTCTCTACACAGGTGCCGGAAGCTGGTTCCACAGTGTAGTGGCCTTCTACACTGTGAGCTTGTGCAATCGTACTAACGACCGTACCACAAGTGAGGCCATCGCACTCACTCGTAGTACATCCACACGCTTGTGGACGCTCCAAGACGCTCATCAGATGGAGACCCGATGAACAAACGGCATGCATCTTCACGGATCGTTGCTGCCAGCTAACCCATGGCCGGTACTGTAACTGGGTGAATCGTTACATAACAATTTATAAGAAATTGTTAATAGAATATAACTATAAGAGTTATATTCTTAGAATATTGTCATAAGGACAAATATTCTGTAGCACTTACGAGTAGTTCCAAATTGGTTGATATAGGCCATTATATCAACCAACGAAGACGCGCCACGACAGACGCACGCAATGAGTGGTGAGCAGATAGTTGATATGCACACATTTGTATTTAGACATAGTTAGATAAAGATAAATAGTGATTTATTGCAGACATTAACTATTATAAATACAGTTCTACTTTTTACTTTAACCAAGTACTCGCTTCTTCTTACCGTCTTCCTCTGCACGTACGAGTGTACGTGAAGTTCCGAGGCACCGCCTTATTCTGTCATCAGAATAAGTAGCTTGTACTGTCACCAGTACAAGCTTCAGGGTGCCCCGTTACACCTGGTAGCACTTCGTAGTCCGTCCAAGGACCACGTTTACTTCTAACATGAATATGTTGGATGATGAAGATGACCAAAGCTTTCACGCTACGCGTGACGGCTACTCCCATTTGAGCGATGTCGAATGGGATGCGGTTGAACGAATGGGTTCGACCATGGGCATCCATGCTGTTAGCGTAATGCTAGAGGCTCTCAATAGAGATGCCCAACATGCTACTATCGCCAAGTTCATTCAAAATGAACTTGACGCTGAACGCGAGAAAGTAGCCTTGCTTCACCAACAAGGTTCTCAACAAGCAGAGTTGTTGAGAGAACAGGGTGCTCAACAGTTTGAACTGTTGAGACAGCAGCAGGCTGCTGCTGGTGGGTCGATGCATTCGCGTCGACCCGAAACCTTGAAGATTGACATCTCCAAGTATAGGGGGGTCGAAGAGGACTCTTGAGATGGTTCGTCGCATTAGACGACGCCATAAGGGCGCGTCGCATCGATGACGGGGATATGCAAGTTGCATTTGCCCAGTCAAATCTGGCAGGACGTGCCAAGACTTGGGCACTGGGGCTCAAGTTGCACGACCCATATGCGTTCGGGTCGTTGGAAGTCTTCAAGTCGCGGCTCAGACAAACGTTTGAATCGCCTAGAGCTGAGTTCAGAGCTCGAACCGAACTCTTGAAGCTCAAGCGGGGTAAGCGTGATGTGCACGCTTACGCTCAACATATACGACATCTCACGAGTTGTATAAGTTCCAATCCGGTGGATGAACACACGTTGGTTTCGGTGTTCATGCAGGGTCTTGCGGATGGTCCCGTCAAGACTCACCTGTTCCGGCTTGAACTAGATTCACTAGAACAAGCCATTTCCATTGCGGAGCAGGAAGACCTCAGTCTGAGACAGGCTCGCGCCAGCTCGACGTCATATCGTCAACCGAGATGACATGACAGCGGAGGTCCAGAGCTGATGGAACTCTGTTATGTAGAGAGCGAGAAGGCTCGCTCTACAGGCTACAAGAAGTTGCAGAGATGCAACAGATGTCAAAAGACAGGACACTACGCTTACGAGTGTAGTGCCCCTCGTCCAGTGTCTCGCGATACTGGGCGTAGTGACCGTCCACCCATGAGAAAGGGGCAGGGACGAGGGTCCGCTGTTGGTGCAAAGACGCAACAACGGGATGGACCGTCAAAAAACGGACAGGATCAGTAGGTGCGGAGCACCCTACTGATCCAGCAACGTCAAGAGAATTTGTAGGCCTCTTGATGAAGGTTGCTCCCAACACACAGACGTTGTGCGTTGCTGCTCTAGGTAATGAGGTCTCACTCATTACCTTGAAACTCGAAGTGACAAATAAGTTGTCCTTCGAGCTCTAGTCGATTGTGGGGCGTCCAACAATTTTGTGCGACGCCAATCGTTAGAAGATGGTCACTTTAAATTTAGTGAATGTGACATACCTCTTACGAGGATGACGGTACGTCTTACGACAGGCGCATCCGTAACCGTCATGAAGCGTATAGTGAAGATCCACTATACGCTAGAAGATACCCAATATGACGATGACTTTATCGTATTGGATTTGGATGACAAATCTGATGTCATCCTTGAAATACCGTGGCTCAGAAGGTACGAACCACGAGTAAACTGGCAACATCGAACAGTAACGATGCCTGCCGCTTGTTCATCAGATGGCCATCTGATGAACGTTTTGGAGCGTCCACAAGCGTGTGGATGTACTACGAGTGAGTGCGATGGCCTCACTTGTGGTACGGTCGTTAGTACGAATGCACAAAACCTTAGTGTACCAAACGGTTACACTTCGGAGCAAAGTTCCGGCGGCTGTGAGGAAACACAGGCTGCGCCGAAGGTCCACCACTCGAATAAGTCGGGTGGACTGGAGACAAAGATGTATCCCTAGCGGGGAACATCTAGAAGAGAAACAATCGATCGCTCAGGTTAAGCGAAACGATAATCCTAGATCGACTGGAGAGTCTTTCGTAGAGGATCTCGCTGTGGTTGCGCAACCCCAGCTAGAGGAAGTAAAGGGAATAAGTCCCAAGATTACAAATACGGCGGAAATAAGTTCCCCGAAACCCGCGGGAATAAGTCCCCGGGAAGACGAAGGAATAAGTCCTTCGAAGCCTGAGGGAATAAGTCCCCAGGAAATGACAGAGACATTGAATGTCATAGTCAATAACGGATCAAGTGTAGGCGCTTATACACTTGATCTGATTGCGCCTCCGAAGTTGACTTCGGAGATCACTCAGTTGCCAACGCTCGAACATAAAAGGTTCTTGCGTGATCTGCGTAGTGGCAAAGTCAAGCAGATCTGCATACTCGTCGCTGACGACGAGTGTGTAACCGACATAAGGTCAGCAACAGTGTTCACTGAGAACGAGAGAGTTCTCAGTAGTTCATCTATGGACGAGAGTGTCCTAGATGAAAAGACACGAATTGAGCGATATGACTCCCAATCATGGGAATCACTAAAGACAAATCCTCTCTATGAAGATTTGGTTGAATTCAAGGATGTATTCCCTGATACTTTTCCGTGCGAATTACCGAAGGATAAAGGTATTCGACACGAGGTCGAGCTTAAACCAGGCTCGAAGTACTGTGTCATGAAGCAGTGGCCACTGCCTCGTGAACAAGTACTTGCGATCGACAAGTTCTTTGCCGATCGTTTAGCTGCGGGCCATGTGAGGGAATCAACTTCCCCACATAGCTCTCCGACCTTCTGTGTGCGAAAAGCAACAGGAGGGTGGCGGATAGTGCACGCGTTCAACAAATTGAACGCTGCAACGGTACCGGCTCAGACGCCGATACCGAGGAAGGACGTAATCATTGATGGTATGTCAAAGAGTACCATCTTTTCGTCCATGGATTTGATGGATGGCTTCTATCAAATCCTTATGCGGGAACGGGATATACCCTATACCGCAGTTAGCACGCCTAGCGGCATGCTCTGGGAATGGCTAGTAATGCCACAAGGGCTTAGTAATGCCCCTGCCACGTTCAACAGATGTGTATCACATCTGTTGAGACCAGTACGAGAATTAGCACCGAGTTATTTCGATGACGCATTCATCCATAGTCGGGCTATGGATGGAAAGCCGGATGTTGAGGTTCACAGGTTCCACGTCCGACAGGTTCTTACAATCATGCGAAAGCATCAATTGTATGCTAACCTCAAGAAGTGTATATTTGCAGCAAGCGAAATACCACTTCTTGGGTGCATCGTTGGTAAGAACGGCGTACGTCCTGATCCCGAAAAGATCAAGGCGATCACCGACTGGCGTGTGCCGGTTGATGTCAAAGGTCTTTGAAAATTCCTTGGGCTAGCGGCGTATGTGCATAAGTATTCACGCAATTACGCCGAGATGACTGTGCACCTCTCTCGTTTGTTGAAAAAGAACGAGAGGTGGTTATGGAACGCTGAATGTCAGCGCTCCTTTGAGGGTATCAAGCAGAGCTTGATACAATCCCCAGTACTAGCAATAGCCGATCAGGACAGGCCATTTTATGTGGTCTGTGATGCCAGCGATTTCGCAATCGGCTGTGCATTAATGCAGTACGATCTTGAAGGCGTTGAACGCGTCGTCTGCTATCAGTCGCGTCAGCTGCAACCAGCTGAGCGGAACTATCCAGTGCATGACAAGGAACTCCTTGCCATGAAGTATGCACTCGCGAAGTTCAGAGTCTATCTATTAGGAGATAGACCCTTCGTTGTTTACACTGACCATGCGTCATTACGCACGGCAGTGAACAGCCCGCACCTTTCACAACGAATGGCGCGGTGGTTGTCATTCTTTGCAGAATACAACTTTACGGTCGAGTACAAACCAGGACGACTTAATGTCGTCGCTGATGCACTCTCACGTCGTCCCGACTTTGAAACAGTCGTGAAACCCAACAGTGAGACAGCCACTGTTGCGGTTATGACGTCCTCAGTCCCATCTTCAACGTTGAATGATGATGTGAGGCGGGCATACGCCCAAGATGGTGAGATTGTGAAGTTGTTGACGCATCTCTCACAACCATCTCGAGAATCGTTGAAACGATTGTCGTCTGCGTATCGACCTGCATCAGATCGATACACTACTCGCAACGGTTTACTGTATTATATAGCCGTTACTGGTGACGCACCACGTGTTGTCATTCCAGATGATACTGATCTGCGTTTGCGGATCATGTTCGAGTATCACGATGCTCCTATAGGAGGACATCGTGGCCGGGAGAAAACAAATCTCACGGTGAGTCGAGACTTTTACTGGCCCCGCCAGTATCAGTTTGTGCGAAAGTATGTTCGCGCATGCGAAGTCTGTCAACGAGTGAAGTCAAGTCCTTCACTGCGTGCACCTTTACAGCCTCTACCGGTTCCGGCTGAGTGCTGGGAATACATCTCAATGGATTTCGTCTTCGGGTTGCCCAAAGACGCACGCGGGAATACGGGTATTCTCGTATTTGTTGACAGATTCAGCAAAATGGTACACCTTGTGGCTGTACCAGAGACAATCACGGCAAGTGGCTGTGCTTGTGTCTTTATTGACACCATCTTCCGACTTCATGGGTTGCCCCGTGAACTCGTATCAGACAGAGATCCACGATTCACTGCTGATTTCTGGCGTTCCGTGTTCAAATCACTCGGAACGCGCTTGAAGATGTCGACATCTGATCATCCAGAGTCAGATGGTCAGACGGAACGTGCCAATCGTGTCCTTGAAGAGATACTTCGAGGATACGTACACTCCTTTAAGAGTTGGAGTGAGTTTTTGCCAATGGTAGAGTTTGCCATCAACAACTCGGTACATGCGTCCACGACCCATACACCGTTTTACGTGAATGGCTTACGCCATCCGCGTGTACCCACCTTACTAAAGTGTAACTCTGGTTTAAGGGGGGGAGGAATTCGCGAGCAAAAACCGATTTGGTTCACGCTCATCACGCTCTGACGAAGAGGTCATTGCTTTTGATGCCGACATCGATAACATCGATATCGAAGAAGATGATGCCAGTGAGAGCGCGGAAGCCCTCACTGAAGAAAAGGTTGGTGTTGCTGCAGTGCACTTACAGCTCACTGAAGCCAACGAGTCATCAGATGAGTTCATACTGGCTCGTGAAACGGTAGTCCGTTTTGTGCAAGACTCCATCGCCGAAGCGGTGGATAAGCAAAAGCAAAACGCTGACAAGAATGGAAGGGCAAACACTCTTTTATTTAATAAAGGTGACTTAGTCCTACTGTCTACGGTTAATCTACCAAAGCATGTAGTGACTAACTTGGGTAGCAGTAAACTACTACCCAAGTACATTGGCCCATTTCGTGTATTGCACCGCCTAGGCAATGCATACACGATCGAGTTACCACGTAAGATGCGAACGCATCCCACGTTTTACGTTGGTCGGCTTAAGCCGTACCATCAGTACGCTGCTTCTTCCGATGAAGAACGCCCTTGCGCTCAAGCATCTCGCAGAGAGCCTTGTGCTCCCGATGGTGGGCATCAACAAGGGTCTGAAGAGCAGCTATCTCATCCCGAGACCGATCAACAATCCCACGAGCTAACCTTAGCTCGTCACGACGAGATGTCAGAGCTCTCTCGTTCTCAAGCTGAGCAAAGGCAAACTCAGCTCGATGCTTCAAGACAGCGTCCGCCAGTTGGAGACGCCTGTCCCGCTCATGTTCGAGATCACCGCGTAACCCTTGCGTAACCCGATCAAAGAAGCTCTCGGGAACACACGGATCCCCACGATCGTGTGGAGAGCGTCTTTCCTCCTCCTCCACCTCCATTAGAGGACTCTCGCGGTGGCCAGCGCTATCTAGTTGAGCAGCTGTTGAGCTGTTTTTCGAACCACCGCGACGTGAACGGACGTCGGACGAGTTATCTCGTCCGGTGGCGCAGATATCCCCCGTCCTGGGGTACTTGGGAGCCCCGCTCCCAACTGATGGTTGACGTACTGGGTCCGGTTGAGCAGTACGACGAGGCACATCCTGTGCCGCAGAAGGACCGCCGGAGAAAGTCTTCCCGGCACGGTCGTAAAGGGATTTCAGGTTGTCAATCCCTTCGTACATCTCAATAGAGATACGTACGCGCCACCACGGGCTGGTAAGGAGGTAAGCCTCCTTAGGTGCTCGTGCAGAGTTGTTCACACAACATGGGCACGAGTCTCCCCATGAGAGGCAGGGTAACCCTATCTCCCTAGACAGACGATGCAGCTTGTAGCGTGCACCTGTCGGGGTTCGCTTTTCAAACTTATCACGAGCTTTGATAAGTTTGTCATTCCAAGCGTCACGACCTACATCCTCAAGGTTATGGATGTAGGCGTTCCACGCTTGAAGTAGTGAGGGACGATCACGCTTGTGGTTCCCACTGTACCATCGATGTCTGAAGAAAGCATCGATGAAGAACTCATTCTCAGTGTGATAGTTTTTCGCACTGGGGTCAAGGTGATGGATCCTTGACGAATCGAACAACCGTGTTCGATAACGATCACTTGTCGTCACCGACAAGCGATCCATGACTGACTTTGGAGGCAGCCATGCCTTCTTCTCGGGAGCGAGACGCAACACACTGCGGTCCCGCTCTTCCTGCGACGTACCGACAGAAGTACTGGTACCTCGCTGTGAAGTGGTGTCCATAGGAGAACCGACACCACTATTAGCGCCCGAGTCTCGCGACCTCGAGCGCCTTCGCTTCGGCGATGGTTCATCTGATTCGTCAGATGAACCAAAGATGCTACGACGCATAGCATCATCCATGCCACGCTTGGCAGGCGGCTTGGATTCGATCGCCGTCGATACGGATCCGTCTTCCGTATCAGAAGAGTACGAGACACCGAGCTCATACTCTGTGAAGACATGAGTGTCTTCATGACCAGCGCCTGCATCACCAAGTGACACAGGCTGAGTCGCTTCAGCAACCGATGATACATCAGCTGCTGTGGTTTCTGCTTCGACGTCCGCACAGAGACGTGCGGACGCGCTCTCGGCGGCCTTGCTCGCGCATCGCATGGGCTTGTTAACCATGCGATGAGATGTTGGAAAGTGGACTCGGACCAACAAGTGCAAATCCTGTCCCAAATGATTTGGGACGAGTATCCATTTAGTCACTCAGTCACTAAATGGACTGATGGTTAAGGGGGGGTGATGTAACGGGGTGAATCGTTACATAACAATTTATAAGAAATTGTTAATAGAATATAACTATAAGAGTTAGATTATCAGAATATTGTCATAAGGACAAATATTCTGTAGCACTTACGAGTAGTTCCAAATTGGTTGATATAGGCCATTATATCAACCAACGAAGACGCGCCACGACAGACGCACGCAATGAGTGGTGAGCAGATAATTGATTTACACATTTGTATTCAGACATAGTTAGATAAAGATAAATAGTGATTTATTGCAGACATTAACTATTATAAATACAGTTCTACTTTTTACTTTAACCAAGTACTCGCTTCTTCTTACCGTCTTCCTCTACACGTACGAGTGTACGTGAAGCTTCGAGGCACTTCCTTATTCTGTCATCAGAATAAGTAGCTTGTACTTTTACCAGTACAAGCTTCAGGGTGCCCCGTTACAGGTACTTTCAAGCCATGGCAGACCAAGGATGCCATCAAATTTGTCATCCTAATCTGACACGATAGATTCATCATCGTACTGTTTTCCTTCTAGCGTGTAGTGGATTCCAACTTCACGTTTGTTCACTGTTTCGGATGCGCCTGTAGCAAGGCACACCGTCATTCTCGTTTGAGGGAACTCTCGCTCAACATAGTTGAGACTACTATCCCTTAGCGACTGGCGTCGGATGAAACTGTTCGACGCACCACAGTCAATTAGGGAGCGAAGTGACATTCCACTTGTCACTTCGATCTTCAAAGTGATGAGAGACTCCTCATCACTAGGGGCAGTAACACATAGAGACTGCATGTTGGGAGCAATCTACGTCAATAGTCCTGCAAATTCTCTTGATGTTGCTGGATCAGCAGGGTGCTCCGCCCCTACTGACCCTGACCGTTTTTTGACGGTCCGATTTACTGTCGCGGCTTGGCGACATGGTCGGACCCACGCCTCGGACCCTTCCTTGGCCAACGGCGGTCATCACGTCCTGTTTTTGGACGTGATGCGGTACTTAAGACACTGGAATCATGAGCGTAGTGTCTGATCTTCTGACAGCGATGGCATCTTGCGCTCGCTGGTGACTCCGAGAGCGAGAGTCCTCGCTCTCGACGTAAAAGAGGTTCATTGGTTCGGGACCTCCTGATTCCTGTCGCCTCGTCGGACGATAGTTGGACGAGGTAGCCTGATACTGTCACAGGCTGACGTCTTCTTGTTCCGCATACGCTATCGCCCTTTCCAGCGTATAGAAATCATCTTGGAACATGTGGGTCTTCACCGACCCATCCACAAGGCCGTAGATGAACACGTTGATGAGCGTATGCTCATCAACAGGGTTTTCCGTGACGCTACTTGCAAGGTAGCGCAGGTGCTGTGCGTAAGCGTGCACGTCACGCTTACCTTGCATGAGCCTCAAGAGTGCAGAGCGTGCTCTGAACTCGGCTCTCGGCTGATCAAACGTCTCTTTAAGCCGAGACTTCAAGATCTTCAACGACTCAAACACGCTCGGGTCGTGAAGCTTGAGCCCTAAGGCCCAAGTCTTTGCTCGTCCCGTCAAATTCGACAGGGCATAGGTGACTTGCATCTCGTCACCCTCGATGTGACGGGCCCTCATGGCATCGTCTAACTCGACGAACCATCTCAAAAGGGAATCTTCATCGGTTCCCTTGTACCTTGAGATATCAATCTTCACGGTTTTGGTTCGACGCATGTGCGTCGGCCCGCCCATCGACTGATGAGATCCTTGCTTTTGTAGAAAGGCTATCTTCTGTCTTTCGACGGCAAGTTCCCCCTGTAGGAACTTGTTGATAGAAGCATGTTGCTGGTCTCTGCTTTGAGACTTCAACATGCCACTGATGGCGGGTTCGCCCATGGGCACACTCATGCGGCCGAATGTATCCCATTCTGAGTCACTCAGATGGTAGTAGCCTTCACGTGTGACGTGAAAGCTGTCGTCTTCTACGTCCAACATGAACATGTTGGACGGACACTAAGTAGTCGTTGGACGGACTACGAAGTGCTGCCAGGTGTAACAGGGTACCCTTTGTTTGGGGTGCCGCGAAACTTCACGTACACGAGTACTTGAAGAGGAAGCTAGTCTACTTGAACGACTCGGTCAAGTAAAGGTAAAAAGAGAGCTGTATTTAATAGAGTTAAGCTATCAATATAACTGTAATCTTCATATAACTTATATTCTACATTGCCGTATGACGACAACCTGCTCACCACTCATTGCGCGCGTCTAGCAGCGATTTGTGGCAATCTATGGTTGATATGTCTTATATCAACCAATCTTGGAGCGGCGCATACATATTATCCAAAAGGGGATAATCTTCCTTCAACATAATCCATCTCGGATAATATCGGTAGAATATTGTCGTGCTATACAATATTCCTATTGAAACCGTGTCAATATCATGTAACAGGCAACCCGTTACAATTCATCTCCGCGTTATCTCTAGATCTGCCGACCGCGCTATCTGCAGTCACAAAGTCCTTGATCAAAACCTCTTGATATCCTCGAAGATCCCTAAATGTATGAAGTTACATGTAAATCATGCCCAAGTGTGTTAAAGACCAACTAAAAGACGGAACGCGACCCGATAAATTCGCTGAATTTATTACGAGCTTTCTGTGCCAAACTTTCGGTTAAGAATTCATGTAAAGACAATCTGATTCGCAAGCTGATGAACACATTCTTGCATCGCATTTTCTTATTGCAACACGGCACTGGAACAAGAAATCGTGTTGGTAGCACTTTACAATTTCCGATTATGGAAGTGTCGTAGTGACGAAGCTAGAACTGCTCTTATCTAAAATGTTGCGATGCTCAGATACTTGGTCGTCTGAATTTCATTAGTACGCACCCGAAATTGGAATCAGTGTTACAAAGTGATACATACGTAGATGTACGTGCCATAGGGCTTAAGCACAATAAATAAAAGCCTGAAATGTCTCTTAGTCGATTTTCTTTCACATCAGGTGCAAAGTGCGGTCCCTTCGGGACGCCTCGCACTGCCAGCTCTACCCTTATTTTCTCTTCTCCCTTCCTCAGTTATTATTTCTCTGAATTAGACACGATACCTAAGTCTGAAGATTAGTCCTTTATGATCAAATTTTAATTTCGGCTTGCCTTAGATCGCATATGATGCTTACCCGTCGAAGCAAATATTACACAGCATCTTTTTCTTCATGATCCCTGTTCTTAGAAACTTAATCGCACATCAAAACAAGAAGCAGATTCAATAGCTGCTCCGCCTGAGCAATGTCGTCTCAAATATCTCAGCCGCACAGATGGGACATTCAGGTGCCAGTAGACAAACATTTAGCTTACAAAACGGAAGGATGTAGAATGAGGTCACTTCATTCGACTCGATTTTGCACCTGGTACCGATCAGTGTCTCTACACACACATTCGTCTGTAAATCTCTACTTCACCTCACCTTACATTATAATGTTCCAGCCATGATCAAAAGAGGCTCTTGCAAATTATGGGGACGAAAATTACCAAATAAAACCAGCAGATCACATGAATGACACATATCGCCATATAAGTAGAGAAAAACCGATAATGTCGCAGAACTGACTACCACTAACGTTACAAAGCAACCAGGTCAAAGAAAAACGGTTGAGCCTTATTCATGGATACATTAAGGACCAACGGCAACATTTCACAGCGTACTAAAACTTAGGAAGCTATTAATATCCCCCTCAGTTTCGAGTAAAGTCTCCTCAGTTTGATACAACGCTACATGACTGGCTGATTATGAGTCGAGGGTAAAGGAAACAATCTTACATCAGCTGCATTTTTATTACGCATTTATGTCGTAATCGTATACAAATTGAACCTTTTGGCGCAAAAATGTGTTGTGGGGGACGTCATTGTCGGCGGCCTTTCAGCCAAGTAAGCGATGAAAAAATCAAAAGATGTTGGTGAGTAAGTGAGTGAGTGTAAAGTCATCGTATGGAACTACAGCAATTAACGAAAAGCATCAATAAGGCAATAAACACGTAGAGTTTGTTAAGATGATGCGACCATTGTACTATGGTAGATCACAATGCTCAACAATGTGGAAATTTAATCGAGCCAACACCAACTCCTACGAAGCTTAACGAATCCAATATATAGATCAAAGTAACTTTGACTGCATTCCTCAATACGAGTGTATCAGCTTGCATATACAATCACTCGTGCATTACTAAAAGAAACGCTTACTTACACGAGCACGCAGTTGTCTCGGATTCATTGACAGCACCGACATCTAGTGTATCGTAATGTAAAATCTTACTTATTGAGATACCTTAACATCTTCGTATTAACAGGGGCGCTCGCATGCGCACTTGTCATAAGCTCCTTGTGCACAACTATCTCAATGTCCTCCTTCACCCTATTATGCGGACCTTAATTGCACATTAACAGATAAGAATTAGCACAGATAAATGGAAGGTTATTTAGTATTGAATTGGGCAACTAATTGACAACGCGCAACGCGTGCACGCGAGACAAGCGAATTGAGTACGCACAAATAAAAAATAAAAGAAATTAGAAGCCTTTAAACATCCACTAGCGCAGAACCTTTGCATAAAGCGTTATTGGGATTGCTTGCTGCTGTGGAGGCGTCTATCTTAAAATTTGATAAGCAATTGAGAGCATCTGCAGACATAAATGCTTTATTTTCCGCAAACACTTCATGCAAAGCTTGACATATCTCGCGCTACAGAACACACAGGAACGATTGCGGACCATACTAAATTACGTCGAGAGGATGTTTAAAATCGTTTATTGCGATATAATATCCTCAAGGTATGTCTATTTATTAGCCATTGACGTAGCGTTATATCAAATTGAGGAAACACTAAAAAAACGAGGGGAGATTAATGGCACCCCCTCGTTTTTTTAGTTTTTTCCTCAATTTGATGTAACGCTACGGGAATGGCTTCCCAATATACAATACAATAAACTTCACCCTCAATTGCTAAGGTAACCTTTTAAGCAAGCAACCTAGACAACCGAAGGATCCTCGGCAATCCAGGGTCCGTCGCGGGTTTAATATTGTACACGGGTGATAGCTTTGATGACTGATGGTCAGTACGAGGTAATTTAGAAGCACGGTATTAATTTGACTGGATAGCTTGATCATATTAAAGCATAAGGATAGCCTCCGTGTGGCTGGTCATTGAGTCAATATGAAAAACTTGTCATGTAGAGAATAATGGTCACGTTGAGCAGCTTTCGTTGGCACGCTTCTTTGTACAATAAGCCTGTATATCGAAGTATTTACACCGCAAAAATGGTAAGTTTTGAGATACCAAAAACTTTTGATGTGGCAGTCATCTAAAATTCAGCTACCGTAGTTTATGGTAACTAAATATTTATTAAGAAAAGGGCGCATCGAGCTCTGGCCTCTTTATTTGGGATGCACCAAGAGATAAGATAGTATGCAAGAGCTTTCGAGACCTCATCAAGGACTTTATGCGACGATTGATAACACTTTTAATTTTGGATGGTTGCGAGGATATGATACTGTGAATGTGCTCCTACACATGGTGTCTTCCATAAAAACTATACACAACAAATGGTTTTTTGAACTGGGCATTTACATAGCCCATTGCTATATTACCCATTACATTAAGACAGATGAGAGCCTCCAGAGCTCTCTGATTAATACCTATATCAACAATCCAAAGAACGAAATCTACTTTCGTAATTTGACGTACTTGTTGAGAGTAGGTAGCGGACTCGGAGTAGGTGGTGCGTTGTGTGTCGGGCTATAAAAGCGATCGTAATTGATTTTAAGGTGAAAATGATGCTCATTGCTGGGTTCGAGAGGAAATTACGGGGAAAGGATTACAAGAGTTAAGCAATCCGGTAACGAAGTCCGATCAGGCTAGGTCAACGAAACATAATTATTTAGTGTGCTGCTAAATTAAATGAAGGTATCTCCTTTTGCCACCGTTTAAATTTCGGCCCGCAAATTATTATTTTAAGCTTCTAAAATACTTCGGATAAACAACACCTCAAATTTATAATTTGCCTGGAGGAGTGAGACTCGTTGATCCAACGCCTTAAGCTTATGTATAGTTGCCCATTGTCCACCTTGGTCACTTTGAGCCAATCACATGAGGACATTGTTGCGTTTGTGACTTACACATTCCAAGCTGTCGCAATGAGTGACACCCGTCATGTAAAAACAGCGACTTAAAGGAAACAGGATCATCGCACTTAGTGCAAAGTCTAAGGTACACCTAGCTTTGTTGCACGCAGATGTGTAGCTAGTCAGAAAAAGGTAAATTTTGGAAGTCCAATGATCACCTTGCGCATAGTCACGAACAGCTTCACCCTTCGTGCTCGCAACTAAATTTTGATGATCTGGTCTATTTTAAGTGTGCGGTAAATTTCTAATTTGAACTAATGTTGTTTTCTCGCAATTTTATTTATTAATTAACTAAGTTTTATAAAGGTAGTTTAGCTTCTTTTATTACTTTTGTAGGATATATTTACAATAAATATTTGGGATGTAAGACAGGAGAGCTTGCTCTGGAGCTCTCCCTTTGATACATGTTATTCACTTCGAAGAACTTAATCAAGATCTGTATATTTACGTACTTGCGCTCAGCCACTTATCGCTTCACCCATCCGGCTCGCAACAATGCTTACTGACTAATGAAGAGAGGATAAAAGCTACATCGTACTTAATAAAATGTGTAAGGTACACCTAGCCTTTATTTGCTGAAACATGGAAAAAGATAAATAGAGTACATCTCACTTTGTACAGCGTATAAGGTACACCTAGCATTGCTCAGGGACACACAACATCGCACTTGGTGCGACACGTAAGGTATACACGGCGTTATTCACATACACAGGAGGTAAACACTAAATCAGACCTAGAATGACGTTATGGTTTATCTAGCATTATTTACAGACACGCACTCACCGACAGATAAGTATGGATGAAAGAGTTTGGCATTTACCTTGCGCACAGACACTAATAGCTTCACCCTTCGGACTCGCTATTATATTTTGATAATTTGACATATTTTAATTTTGTGGTGTACTTTCAATTTGTACATGTTTATTTTTACGATTGTTTTTTGTTGATCGAATGTTATCTGTAATGTTTAGGTTTTCTTGATTACTTTTGTGGGATATATTTTCTCCAGCAGTAATGCGGTATATATCATTATGATTCCCCGTAAAACATCGTTTGAAAAGATGCTGATACTCCTTCCAACACCTCTGTATCCTCGACCCGTGCATTAGTCAGATCCAAATCGTACTTGACTTTGCACACCTTAACATTATGAGCATCAACAATGCAATCACGTTGAGCATTTGCACCAGAAAAAAACCAGCCAAGCAGCACAGCTGCACACTGGAAGTACATGTGACGACCGGGAAGTCTAGCTGTAATTTGCAGTTGCAGTGACTGCATATTCTATCATTTTATCAACCAAACTACTCGTTGAGATCTGGTGGGCTGAGCGACTCCGTCGTCTCAAGTGTAAGTTTGTAGATAGATTCCGCCACCATGCGCAACTCCACCATCTGCGACCAAATTTGTTCGCGTTGCGCATCGTCCGACACCTCGATCTTGTCAGGCTCTGACAATTCCCTTTGCAACATTTTCGCTGATGGAACACCGCGAAACGAGTCGATGGGTTGATCGGCAGTCGGTGACAGCACGTAGAGCAAGGACTTTGCTTCTGTTATTCGTGTCGAGGCAGCTGCATCAATGCCAGTCGTCGAGTCAGTCCTTGCGCAGACCGCGAGACGTCCGTGCGGTTTACCAGCAGAGCTTTTCACACTAAACAATCTGGATTGAACTTCAGCACGTGCGACGTCCACGGATGCAAGGCGGTCAACTTGGAGCACGCACCGCTTGCAAATTACCACGCTCTTTTGTCGGAGCCATAGCTTGGAATTCACTTCTTTTAGCGTACGCAGGACTCGACAACGCGAGCAATTGTTCCGATCGCAAAGGGAACATGGACTCGCGCCATTTACCAGTTTGCCGATTCGCTTAGCACAGGTTCCACAGCTATTTGACGATTCCGATGACAATAGCTCATGATGATTTGGAGAATGATCAACATCTGAAGTGTCGACAATGCCATGATTCCTTCTGGAACAGCCGACATTGCTACTAATGTGTGACCGTCGGCTACTTTGGCAAGACATTTGTCGTGCTAGACTTTCATCCGGTAGCTGACGAAAGCACCACATGAGCTTCTTGAGGTTGGCACACTCGACTGCATTCCAAGAGCTCATAAACCCGGTTGAAGCAGCAGCAAGTGCCACTGAATGCAGGAGTTTACCATGGGCTTCCACGTATCCTTTGACGTACACGTCAACCTTGGAGTGTCGACTTCCTAGCCCTTCCGGCACTTCTCGAAAGATAGAGCAGCTCGAGATGCGGCCGCGTGTGACTTCCATCCCCGACTGAGGCGTCATGTTCCGATACTGCGGCAAATCCACCGAGTGAAGAAGTTGATAGCCAATGCGCTCTCCATTCGGTCGCGTCGTAATTCCTGTGCCTTCGATGAATAATAAATCCCGAGGTTGCACGATACCTTGAAGGGCTCTCGGAGGGCCTTTGATGACCCATTTGATCCCTAGGAACCGAAATGGGTCGGCATCGCACGGGGCGTCAATGCACGCTAGCACTGTCCCATTGACCAATTTGTTCTTAACGACAGTAGCTTTAAGTAGCATTTCTTGTGCATCGGGTGATGCGACACCGTACATGACATCGTCTAGCGTACCCTCAATCCAACCAGTTGCTACAAGCAGCTTAGGCTCCGTCCACTCGGTATTATTTCGAAACGCTGTCGACACTCTGTCCCTGAGACTGACTCGAGGACAGAGTGTCGGGTAGCGCTCCTTGTACACTGAGATGTGGTCTCTACTCTTGACGAGTTTCCATCGACGACGACTCATTCGTCGCTGGCGTGGATCGGCAGAGTGAACATCATAGTCCCGCAACGTGTTGGAGAGCAATTGAGTTGCAAGGATGCGGTACTTTTCTCGCTGTTCCATCGACAGCTCAACATGTGGCAAGGCGTCAGTCGTCCAAGTTGTGGGGCAAAACCCTTCACTCGCATCACTTGCTTCCTGCCGAGTCATGACTTGCTCAACGTGTGTGTAGGACAAGGAAAAGCGAAGTGTGAAAGCGTGTGGGCAGTAGCAGTGTGTGACTACAATGCAGAGATTGATGAGGACGAAAGAGTCGGAGGTTTGGATGCCTAAGCTTTGCCAAAGGATCGTATCAAGTCAACAAGTTCTAATGAGACCCTCGTTAAAATACAACATTACTACAGCATTGGCTCGGGTGCTTTTGCAGAAGAGCGGTCGCCGATGTTTGAATCAATCTAGACAGTGCTACTGCCAAGTGGCGACCCGTTCTGAATGGATACATGACCCACAGTCCACGGTCACCATCTTTTCTGGATCGATAATGCTACAACGTTGCGCTCGCAGTGGTAGGCAATGTCAGCACATGCATGAGCCACATCGGCTCCTAGTCGACGAAATCTCTCTAAGGCACGACGATAGACTATCGCAATTTGAGCGAACCAACCTGACCCGACTTCTTCTGATAGCGCTTCGCGTCCGACCTCATCTGATGCAGCAGCTGATGCCGTTTGAGCTGAAGTCGTGTATCAAAATCATGCTCGCGGAGTTTACGAGATCTAGGATTAAGACATTCAGTTCCAGCGTACGTTTTAAGGGCTCTTGGCAACACACATGAACCTCCCTCGACGAGACCTGATTTTAGCACAGGAGGGGTTTAGATTTGTTGACATTATGCAAAAGTCACGTAGTCGAGCGACTTGCAACGCTGCTATACGTGGCCGCCAATCTGCCCATTAACATATTGTCTCACCTGTGACCTCATGAAGGTATGACAGACAGGTTTCCTCGACTACTTGCATAATGGCCATTTAAGTCCAGACAGGCGCTAAACACCTATGTCTTGCGTACGCCAAGTAGTGAAACTTTGCCTTCAATTGCATTGTAAGCGTCATGGAGAGGCACCTTTGTGATCCATTGACATTCTGAGCATATGGTGTAGAGGTTCCCACACGCAAAATAGCTTAGACAAGGAGGAAGCCAAGGCTCTTGGATAGGCCGGTGGGCTAAACTGAAGCCAGTGGCAACGTCGGTAAGGGACCCTGCAGTAGGATGTGCTGCACTGAATTTACTTTCAGGTCGGTAAACGAATGTGTTGTCCTCGCTACGGCGTCACTCACATTAATTCTTACATGGTCCAACCACCCATACGACGATATCCGCAGCTTCTTTCTTCCTTTATCGTGGTAGCATAAGAGTCGGAACGTTTCTTGCATCAATGTGGGTGGCGTAGAGTTGCAGCTTTGTGCGGCACGATGTACATTGTGGTGGGGTGTGATTAATCCATGGACGATTATTACACGTTCGCTCTTTGGCAGGGAAGTCGCAGTTTGATGCCCTCATTGCAGCCCCGTCTCGTATTCGCTGAATGTGGGCAAAAAAGAAGAAAAAAGACAATATGATCGAAATCAATGCACAATATTTTATCTCGTGACTGTATTTGCCAAGTGCAATATCGAACAAGACGACGCAATAAGTAATCACAACATCGGGAGCTCTTTGCTTTAGGAGTCCAAGCGCTTGTTTGTGACTGAATGCATCAATAATCTACGTGGCCACTTGAGCACGAATGTACACTGGATACAGGGTACACACCAGACTCCTTCACTAAGTTAATGCAGAGAAGTGCGAGTACACATGAGAGAACTCGCACTTGTCATTCAGACTTGTCAGATGTTGAGCCGAGTTACGGTCATGGCCAAATTCTTACTTACATTGATGGAGACACAATAAACATCTAGAGGATAGGATCGCAAGTCACATGCTTGACTGCAAAAGTGCGAGAACTGGTCAAGACACTACGGCTTAATTGGTGTGTTTGCAATTGATCGCGTGCGCTTTACTTCATACTCTGTGTGCCTGTTTCTTGAGACGTACAAAGTTCTGCGCTCGAAGCACAATCTTAACGTGTCAAATGCATCCTACGATCAATTTTGGCTCGAATGGGTAGACGAATATTCTACCCATTTTGATACAGCTTGTCGGACTTTCGTACATCTAATGCCCTGCTCACCGAAACTGTTTCAGTGTTTCAGCTCAAAAGATGGACTTACCTGAATTGCCTACAAAAAGGGTTCCCGACCGGGATAATGCTGTAACACGAACCCGGCTAACTCATGATCGCGGGTCTGTCTCGACACTTGCGATCACGAAGAAGCCACAGAATACAAAGAAGTCTCGCTGGTAATTCAGGGGACCTGATAGTGTTCCCATAAACAACGTTAACATCAGCCGACCCTACCTGAAGCAGTACAGTCTCGATGCTCGAAGCGGCCCAAGAGTTTAGGAAAGACAAGACCAATCACAAGAAAGGTATACAGTATTAGCAAGGCCGCGAAGGACTAGGTAATGTAAGAGATGACATTCAGCTAACTTTCAGCTGGTTTGATTGTATAATTGAGGCATTTATGTGTGGTATGTTGAATTATCTGACCAAGCCATCGTACATTTCATGGTAGCACATATTCACAGCGGTAGTCCAATCTATTTGCACTCAGATTGTAGTAAGCCGATTACGTAGCGGCCTCAGATTTTGAGCATTTGTTGGGGGGTGCGTGCCGGCAAAATGTATTCCATCCAGGTGGCTTGACACTCGAAGGTGTAGTGTGATTTCAGGGGATCAAGCGGATCTTCTGCGTTTTGCATTTGTAACGCATCGTCTGATATGCTCGATAGTACTGTCTGATATTGATATATGCACCGGACGACATTCAATAACTAGCCCCATCCCGTTGCCAAACGAGCTGCAGCCGTCATTGTATCGCGATAAGTATAATACGTTGATAACAATTGTATTTAAAAAATTAAGTGAATTTTGGGGTAGCGTGGATGGAGAGACTAATGCAACGAATAAACGGGTTGTTGTGTTTACGAAAGGTGGTCAAGCGCTGATAGCGCTACGGGCTCAGGCCAGTGTCTCATGATTTGCTAACGCGTGCACTTTGTCGATCTTTTCTGTCAGCTTGATTCCAACATTGAGTCTTCTGCGAACTGTATTCCTGCACGGACAAGGGATAGCAAAACGCGCTGATGCTACCAGCTCCATGACGCGCTCAATGCAGTTCTATCGTACAGGGTCTCCAATCAAAAACTATACACAACATAGTTTATAGAACCCCTATCTTGCCACGGAAATCTAAGATGCTGCTGTACTTAGAAGACGTCCGTTGTTGATGAGGGGCTCTTTCAAGCTGGCAAGAGTAGCCTAAAGCCATGTCTCCGTTTGCAGATGAAACAATCAATCATGGCGACATTCTATTCTCCGACGCTTGACTCACGTTCTTACTGTCTATAATAGCGCCTCCCTCCAGGACTGTAAATGTGCAGAGCAATTCGACCATTCGCGTTTTCTTTTTAGTATGAAAACTTGTCCGCATACACCTGAGTGGCAATAGCACATACTTGGTGATCCCAGGCAACAACTATTATTGATAGAGGCAATCACGTTCGAACGAGTGATCAAGAAAGTTACATGGAACGCACACATGTCAACAGACTTTGGCGCACTTGCTCGGTTCCTAATAGTCGATTGTAACGTCTAGCACAAATTAATGTCTGATCCGTATTACTCTTATCTTGCAAACCCGATTTCTCTTTCGTTCTGTTTAACACATCAAGCATGCTGAGTATTCGCACTGAGGTGCGATTAACGCCCTTGTGCTGTAGCAAACATGGACCAACTTTGTAGAAGGTACTGGCAAAACGAACTTCGGAACGTCTGAGTTAAATGAACTTTTGCAACATGTCACACGTACACAATCAGCGCCATTTTGATTGTAAGAACACGATCGCAAGAAATCCCCACACCTCATCAGTAACCATATCTATCAGGCTGCATTACTTTCGGGTCACTCGTCTTTCGTCAACCTTGTCCATAACTCTTTCGCCGTCGCTGGTAGACATCTGCTGTAATTTTAAGTAAACCAGTAGCATGACATTATATTGGAACAAGGTACAATAATCATAATGTCATCTCTTCAGGCTTACAAGACATGCTCCACTTTTTGTCACATGGATACGGATATCATTGTGACGAGCAACGATTCGGAACATTTAAAGTGAAGTCAAGATTCGAATGGATATCTATCGATTAAGTTTGTAGCGCGTTGTCGAAAGAATTTGTAAAGCTCGTGAAGGCTATGATGGTAGTAGGTGTAAAAAGAAGCAATGAAAAATGAGACTACAAATGTAAACTCGGCCGGAACCGGGCACCGTAGCAACACACTGGACGACCAGTGTGGAGCTACAGTTACCGACAGCAGCGTGAGTGGTGCCTTGCTATCTCAATTAACTCGGCAGAGGGGGAAATGAAATTACGAAATTGACTGGTTGCTAATAAAATAAAACTGCACTAAATATAATTAAGTCCTAATCATTATCCTATGTTTCAGTCGTAACTTACTATATATTATCAGCAAAAATGTTTGCAAAGGTCTTGTTTACTACTCATTAAATGCATCAATCGTTGTTTGGACCGCTAAAACTAGCTGGGATGATGACCCATATCAGCCAATCGGTAAGTGTTTCTAAATATTACCCTTTATAGTAATATTCACGGAAACTATCAACTTTATGATGATACTTTAATTGACAAGTATCAAGGGTCAACTACATGTAACAGGCTCACCCCGTTACATGTACACTTAAACGATTAAGATGTGCTTTTCACGGGACGAGGCTGCATCAGCGCGTCCAAAACGAGCTCCGAAAGGCAAAAGGTCACGTGACTTTCCATTTGGCGTTAGGTGGAGCAAGACATAACGCCTTTGGATCAGTCTTGATGAAGGAAGAATTTGCAAAAGCAATCGCATACTGAATGGAGCAAAGTGGTAGCGGCGTTGGTGAGCTTGAAACGAGCCTCGAATAAATTTGAATTCTCGATCTACGAAGACAAGGCAGATGACATGAAATACAACCATTCAAACTGTATGACCTCAGGCTTGAAGCCATAATACTCCCGTTTGACAAAACGACGCGTTCGGTAAAAAAACCAGGTCGAGCCGAAAAGTCTCCTGTGTTTTTCTCTTATAGGAATGTATTCCGGCAGCGCTTCTCTTTTGGATTTGTTACTGCTCTACATCTGATGCAAGCGTGTCTTCCTACACCAGAGGTTAAATTTATAGCACTAGTCGATCAGCATCGATGTTGGGTGTGCGTGGTCTTCGATACTCGGCACCTGATGGCACTTTTTCTGAGTGCGCGAAATTGTGCAATGGATTGCATTTATCTTAGTATGGAGACTTTGCAATAGGCAAGCTAGATCGACACTAGATTTTGATGTGCTGAACACACAATAGTCATGTTCGTGTCGTGCTTGTTCATCTTCCCTGCGACAAGGAAACCCAGCGACTCTGCAAGGAACATCATTACTTGACCAGCTATGACCATGTCCTTGGTGCTTCGCTTGGTAGACTAGTCGAACGTTGTTCATGCCCGCTTCAAGCACGACAAGTCTTCATTTTACTCGGATTGAAACCGAATATCTCGGTGTGTTTTCTTTCTTGGCGTTGGCTCCAAGTTTCAATCAATCTTGCTCACACGATGCACTGTTTGCACTCCAGCGAGGTCTTCGATCACCAAAGCCACGAAGCCTCCCACGTCGCTTTTAGTCGCAACGGCAAGAGCACCCTGTGGGTCCAACTTAGATCCTGGAATCTCCACGTCCTCATTATCCAATGTTTAATCCACACCTTTTGATCTCAACCTTCCTACATTAAAAATACTATGGTTGGTCAAGCACTGGTCACCGTTAGTCTCACCACTGCAATGCTCCAATGCGGACTCCACTTTTGGCGATAATGAGGTTGTAACTAACAGAAATTGCAACACAACAGACACCTACAATTAGCCTGTTTACCTTTCAATACTTTGGAATTGAAGGGATCAGTACGTAGCTAACCAGACCTGGTTCTTGCTCTTCTAAGCTTTTCTAGCTATTCGCCTTGTCGCGCCCACTTTCTTGTAGCGCCCACTTCCTTGCCGCGCTCACTTCTTGCTAAATGTGCTCGTCCAGTCGCTTCGTTCTCCTTTCCCACTCCGGCATTTCTTAACGTCTTCAACTTGCCCCCAGAGTAAGGTACGGTTTCCAACACGCCCTCTCCTAAGTTACTCCGTCTCTCCGGACGATCCTATTTGGTCAGTCCAATCCTTGTACATAGCTTTTCGAGTCTTGCATAAGTCAGTGGCTTCGTCATCAGGTCAGAACGATTACCTTTGTCTTGAACTTCCACAACACAGTTCTTTTACTTCTTGGTACCTGACATAGTGCCAGCGTAGCTCGATATGTCTCGTCGTTCGTCGTTAGGTCGGGTTAGCTCCCATGACATAAGCAGCTTAGTTATTAATTACCATCCAAAAAAGTAAGCTGAATCTTGGAAAAAAATTGTATCAGCATGTTTTCAGACCTTAACCTTCCATCTATGCCTCGCATACCGCAACATATTCTGCCTCCGCTGTCGACTGGGCTACAATACTCTGTTGCCGGGAAGCCCATGAAATCGCACCCTCAGCGAGACATGTACAACACCGGTGATGCTTTTGCGTGTGTTCGGGTCGTAGCCCAAGTCTGAACCGCAGTATCAGATCTGGTTCTTGGCTCATCATCTTGTTTTGAGTATACACAATGCCTTTGCTCTTCGTGCTAATCAAAACTTATCCCCTTCTAGCAGCACCCACATTCTGCTGCATCAGATCTTTCACATAGTGACTCAGCTGTCCAACGCAATATGCGAGGTCTGGTGCATGTGGTCATGTACATGAGTGAACCAACCAGCTTGCAATACGGAATTAGTGCCATTTGCAGGGGACTGCTTTCGTCGATCATCGTCTGTTTCCTTTACAACCAATCGCATGTTTATCTTTATTGATATTAAACTTGGGTGCGCATCTTAGGATTACTAATTTCAAGCAATTCTTTACAGTATCTTTTCTGGTGAAACTTAGTTGCGTCATTCAGTTGCTCCACCTCAACACCCGAATATGAGCTAATTTAAACTTGGTCCTTCATTCCGTACATCTTGTTAAGCTGCTCAACCATTCTTTTCTTGAGCTCAACTTCGTTGGTGGCACACAAGATATCGTCCACGCACAGAAGTACCATAGCGAATCTATCATCACAGGAATAAAAAAGCAGATCGCATGGCTCGATCGCACACTGGCTAAATCCAAATTCAGCAAGCCAACGACCTACTTCATTATTTTACTCACGTTCATACTGACAAAGACCGTACAAGGCCTTGTCAATAATGTAGATGTGTCCTTCTATAGTACAAGGATACCTTTGACCCCTTTCAGATACTGCATTAAGTTCAACTCCGCGTTGAAGCAGGCAAAATCTAAATCATCTTGATAGATCGTGAAGCTCACAAGCACAGAAATGGCAACAAACATTTTCAACTTGGCCATGCGTGCCACAGGCGAAAAGTTTTTCCTTATAATCGACTTTTGGACGCTGTTTATCTCCTCGTGTGACAATTTGGGCCCGATGTTACACCACATATCCTAAAGGGTCCGTCTTTACATTAAATACCCAAATTTTCTTGATTGTTTGCTGGCCTCTTGGCATGTCCGATCGAGGAATTTCCCCTGAGAACTTCTTTGACTTTTAGTGCAGAAATTTCTACATCCATGGCCTCACGCCACGCTGTTGCTTGTTTTGAACGTGTCGATCGGCGATAGTTTGTAGGGAGCTTAATATCCTTTTCAAGTACACCTTGCCGTCCTTGGCATGCATTACACTAAATGCAAAATACACCTTGAAATCTTTACATCTGTCAGATCCACATTGTTTTTGCTTATTATTGGTACGGCCGCGGTGCAATCGGGATGATTTAATACGCTTCACATCCACCTTAGTCAGATTTAATTCACGCGTTCTCCGGACTTCAACGTCTCGTGGACGTCGACTTCCGATCAGTTGATTAAAGGGAACTGCCAATAGTCGATCTGCTACCGGGTACACTATGAGTTCTCTCGCATCACTTGGATCGAACAGACAGTAACAGTCTTCTTGAACATCATCTCATCTTTCAAGTTAAACGTCGTCTATCTCGAATAGTTCGGTGATGTGGCCTATTGACTCAGTCTCCGTCTCATTCTTCCACTGTTCACCTGCTGACTCACTTTCACAGTCACTTTCTTCGTCACGTTCACTGAGGATATCATTAGCATCGGGTAGTTCGGTCGTTTTTAAAGCTTCATCAACTTCTTCTTACTCGTCAGTGGCGTCATCATTCGGGATAGAATCAAGTGAACTGTATTGTGTATCCGACTTACTGCCAGCACTTCTATCATTATCCCGATTAAGTGCAGGCATGGTACTGTTTTGCAGTATCTCATCCCACTTTTTCGATCTTCTTTAACCAGTTCATCTTGTTAGTTATCCACCATTTGGATGTCACGTGAATTGGGAAACAAGACGACGCTTCCATTTCGCCTTTTAAACCTGTTTTGATCGTTATTTGGAAATGGTTCTTCCAGATCACCAAAGGTACAATTTCTACTGTTGATCTGTCAACATTCACATTTCATCCTGTTGTGGTGGAGTATTGCCATCACAGTCAATGTCACACAATTCCAGCGGCTTCGTCGTGTTGTCACACTTAGATCGCTGTGAGATCATATTGATGTATCTAGCTCCGCATAGATTTGTAGCTGCGCTGGTTTCGGCTTCATTTGAGAATTCATCGTGCTCGTTCACAGCAATCGCATCACTTCTACCAACATCAATTTTGCATGCCTCGATGGATTCACCAAACGGCCACACCCATTTTATTAACTCTCGATGCGTACGCAAGCTCATAAATATCTTCGTGCATAATGGACTCTTTAGTATTCACGTCTGAATTGGAACATTTCTTGATTTTATTCGGAAATTAAACATGACATCCCACAACGTCTTTGTGGTACCCTAACAGATATCCAATCTTGCATATCATATCCAACTTCTTCCTTTTTGATACTGGAACGTGGCAACAGCAAAGATTACCAAGTCTATGAACACGATATATGTCTGATTTACAGCCAAAAATACTGTCGTATGGTGTACAACCTGCCACTATACAGTATACACGAATGTTTAATAAATAAAGCATTTATCATTGCGTATACCCTAATAAATTTGGGAGTCTGGACTGAGTCATTATTGTTTTGAACACTCCAATCAACGTTTGGTGTGTCCGCTCGACAAAATTGAGCCGTGAAGCTTGTGGTGTTACCTAAGTGTGAACGTGGCCATGGTTAGTACAGATAACTCAAATTTAGAGAGCGCGATTTGTCCATAAAATTTCGCGGTGTCCTTAAGATCGAAATAAACTCAAAGGACACCACTTCGTTTCTGTTGGAATGTGATTGAATAAACTTTGTAGAAATATTCAATAGGAATTGGATAATTGGAACAAGTTTCTAGGAAAGTAAGATATGAAGAAACATGTAGAAATCTGAGTGATTCAACATATTAAATATCAGTTCTATTTTTGCGTGCTATTAAGTAAGTGCTGTTAGTTTCAGTATGGGCCACCGAGCTTAATCTATCGAGAAATAATCGGTGATCTGCTGCTGGTGCATGCTCTGTTGAAGCTGTTGGCGGCATTTCTCGGTCAGCAGTTGCATCCCCACAATATCAATCTTGTGTGCAATATCGATCTTGTGTGCGAACTGGTACGTAGACAACTGTATTGCAGCTTCCAGCGCGTCGCGATGAGTGAAGATGGGATCTTCGTCTCCATCGCTGTCGTCACCAAGCAAAAATGGCTCAGAGGTGGCAGTTGCATCGGAGTCTGATTCCCATTCTTCCAGGTTGTTTTCACACTCCAGATAGTCGTCTGCATCAACCATCAAATAAGGATAATTGTCAATTAGATTAGTTAGAATCGAGAGATCAATGGGACGGACCGGCTCGTCTCGCCTACGGAGCACTGCCGCCAAAACTCCCGACACGATTCCTGTGTGGATCCAACAGTGTCGAATCGTTTCAGGGCGCACTTCAGCCCACTATTTTACCGTCATACGGATAGCGCTAAGAACGTAGGGGTTCTTGTTCCCCGTCCCTGCCGTAACCATGTCCAGTAGCCACTGCACAAATTGGGCCTTGTACTTGAGCTTGAAGTTGCAAATGAAGCCCGCGTCCATTGGCTGCAAATAAGAGGTGGTAGTTGGCAGAAGGAAGTGAATGTGTACGTTTGAGAGCTCCATTTGACATTTGAGGTCGCGTTGTTGAGCAGCAGAAGAACTTTTTGCCCACTCATTTTGAGATTAAATGGTTTCAACCAATTTGCAAAGATGCCTCCAGTCATCCATGCCTTTGCATTTGCATGGAAGTGGACGGGTGGCTTAGAAACTTCAATGGCTTTTAAGCAACGGGGGTTGAGGGACTTGTTGATCACGATAGGGTCCAGTTTCTCAGTCCTATCCAAATTAGAGCATAGCCCTATCGAAATGCGCAACTTATCTTTCTTCTTGCCACTCAAAGGCATCGTTGCCAGAGCCCGCGAAGGCATCATGCGATAAAATAGACCGGTTTCATCCATATTGAAAGCGTCGCACGCCGCGTAGCCGTCGAGAAGGGTCCGGAGTTTCTGGCGCCGCTGGTAAAGGGTCTCTAGCTCGACTGAGGCCGCCTCGCCATGCCGTCGGTAAGATTTGATGCCGCGTCGGTCTTTGAACCTTGACACCCACGAAAGCGAGAGCGCCGTCGTTACACCTGCGTCCTCTAGCATTTAATTGGCCTTCTGGTGGAGTATGAAGTCGGTCAACGTGACTATACTTTGAGTGCCAAGCACGAAATGGAACAGTGATTTCTCTACCTCGGCATGTCTGCCCTTCTGCTGCCGTTTGGCTCTCGGATTGAGGTGAAAGGAATGTCCTTCATCAGAATCCTGCTGATCGTGGACCGTTCAACACGGACTCCAAACTCTCCCAGCGCCCATCGACAGAGAACGGCTTGCGTGAGTCCAGGGTTCTCTCGCTGCTGTGTCTGTAGAGCTCTCTTCTGTACGAAGGAAAGGTGCGTTCGGGGCTCCAATTCGTACGTCGTGTTTGTCTGTGGAGGTGTTCGGAAATTGAGAATCGTCCTTGTGTGGGGAGAATGGGACGGGTGGTGGGCGTCACTGCATTCTTTTGTCCAATAGCTGTGCGATAGAAAAAATACGCTTAAAATTTGTTTGTGCTTTTTGTCAAGTAAAATGCGGTTTTAAAACTGTGTTGGTCCTTTAACCGTGGTCTCTCTAACTGTGAGCTATCTGTATACCATTTCTCTATAGTACCAATACAGAATTCTTGGCCTTTGTCTGTCAAAACTTGTCTTACCAAATGTCTTGGGTCCGTGTCATGTTGACTTTCTGCCCAGTAGATGTAATTCTTCAAGTAACCATTTACTTCACCTTCGGTCTTTGATTTTAAGAGGTACGTCCTCACGTAGCGCGAGAATCCATTAATGATAATGAGAATTGCTTCCTCAAGTGACAGAACACTCAAATTTACTACGTCGCTTAAGCATGATACTTTTCGCCAGCCCTCGATCAAGCAAAAGCCTAATGTACTACGGGAATTAATGTCCGTAGTACATTACGCCAATGTCTGCAACAGTATCCGTAACGTAAAAATTTGCATGCATTTTCCTTTTCGTTGCCACATTGTTCTCTATTTTTGTTATAATTTCTATGTCTTAAGTCTTTAAGGTCCAGAGATGACCGTCATATTGCGTTCGATGGACGTTCGATCCATCCCTTTGCAGCTAAACTGACTTTGTTTTGTTATCCCAGCCATTCGAAAACCTTGATCAATTGTTAACCCAGCCAAAATGAGGTTACATACCGTTTTTAGGCCATAAAGCACATCTTTTACCATTAAATAGACAATTCGATCATTAGCTCGACAGCAAGAAGTATAGTACCAAATCCTTCTGCTTCAGCGTCAACACCATCCGCGAATACCGAAGTATTTGGGTTCCATTCGCTGATTGCCATGCTTTGCAACGTCCTAAAGGAATCTTTACACGCTGTCATGTGAGACTACGATCCTGTTTCAAAATACAAAAGACTAGTTAATAAGAATTTTTAAGTAGTGTGAGCTTGGTTACTTGTCCAAGCATCACTATGATCTTTGTACCATCCTGACTATGGACAAGTTCATTCTCTTGAGATAGTACGGGGTCTCCGGACCGAGCATGACTGGACTTTGACGTCCTCTTTTCTTCAAGTCGGAATAATCGCGTATAAAATTGATTCCATTACAATGGAAACAGCCGCCATTTCCACTCTTCGTGATTATCTTATTGTCATTTTCACACGCCCACTTATGTCTTTAAGATATGTTCCCTCTCGTATTGTCTCTTGCTGTACACACTTTCTTTCCATTCTTCAAATCTTGCTTCTTCGGTGATAAATATTTTGCTAAGGAGCTTCGGCGTATACTTTGCCATACTGGAGCTAAACTATACCTTTCGGCGTAGCTCGTCGTAACACATCTGCGGAGATAGGCTTCGCAACATGCATTCGTCCGTTTGCAAGTTGTTCACGAAAGCACTCAAAATCCGCCAGTTGAGTCCTGATGGCAAATAGTGTCTGCAAGTGACTGCGTAATTTTCCCTCTTCTCGCAGATTAGTTCGGTGTAATCTGGACTGCATCCTGTACACCTTTTGTGCATCCATCGCAAGGTGGGCTCCCTACGACGAAGAAGCTAGTAATTTGCTTCTTCGACTTTAGAGCGAGCCTTGGACAAAGATTTTTGATGTAGCCTGCTTCTTCCTGAAGTTTTTTTCTTCTAGTCATTCCTGCTGCTATCCAAGCGTTTTTGGCCAATGGAAATTTGATTCAACAAGCTTTTTGCAAATGCTTTTATCATAGCTCGCTTGTTGAAAGCCAAATGTCTCCATTCATGGGAGTTTCGTTGGGGCTATTTTTACATATTGTCCATCTGCGTCGCTGGTAGGACCCAAAGACTTCATACTTGATTTTGTGTGCCGTGATGGTCGTACAGCACAGCGTAGTCAGTCTTTCTCTAAGCTTATAACCCTATCCGATATTGTACCACGACAAACACTCACAAACAACTTGTTTTCCTTTCGGTGACTTTGGAAATGTAGGGATCAGTACGTAGCTAGACAGACCTGGTTCTTGCTCTTCTAAGCTTTTCTAGCTATTCGCCTTGTCGCGCCCACTTTCTTGTAGCGCCCACTTCCTTGCCGCGCTCACTTCTTGCTAAATGTGCTCGTCCTACCGCTTCGTACTCCTTTCCCACTCCAGTAGTTCTTAACGTCTTCAACTTGCCCCCAGAGTAAGGTGCAGTTTACAATAGTATCAACCATTTCTCTGATGCCAGCCATGATGTAATTATTACCCTGAACGAAAAAGTATGCGCCAGGCGCGGCTCGATCATGCCCAGGTTGCGCAGCGAAAGCACAAGATTCGTAGCTTTCTCAGAAAAACTGTCTTCGTACAATACCCCCCCCACTGAATGACTGCATCGACTGCCGGTCACGCTCTCTGATCATGACTCAATAACTTGCTGATCATGTCTAGGGTTTCAGAACATCGATTTGACGCACGAAGGTCATACGTGAACTTACCGTCTCGAGCATCACGAAGAGTGATGTATCACTCCATTATAATGCCAGAAAATGGTCGTGACACGGCTCGAAAAAGAATCATTACCAATGAGTACATGTCCGTCTTAGCGTTGTGCTTTCTCCTTGCAATTTTTTCGGGCTTGCGCAAAGATACGTGTCAACACCTGTAGTCACCTCGGTGATCTCTAACATGTTCGACCACACCGACATAGACAGAGAAATAAACCCCATCCCAAATTGTAGATTCCCTTGTATGGAACCATCAAGACTTGCAGAGGCATTCAGGCTGCTTGCTTTATATAATAGCGTAATTTGCCAAAATTTCCAAACTGAATCTCATCTCTGTTTACATTGCCAAAAACGATGTGCGCTAATTCTGATCGCGATAAACCAGTTGAGAATCGCGGCTTAAAACAGCCAGATAGTCCGCCAAGTTGCGGCCGGCACAGTATTTCTTCTGAATGTACAGCCAGTGATCACATTTCTCTACCGCGTTGCACAAAGATTTTTCGTCGCTAGCATGAGCAGCCAATGCGCAAGACAAAGACACATGAAGAGACAGATGGCTCGTGCAGGTCTTATTTGCACGACCAGATATTTATTCTTCCATCCGTTCTCACGTTCCATACTAGAGCTTTCACGCTCCTCGACATACCCACCATTATCTGCATTTTCACTAACCACGCATTCAGTGCTGCAGAAGCTCTTGATGTCGCGTTAATCTCTTGCAAGTTCGAGCTTTGAGATCGTTGCGACGAGATTGTTTGTCAAGCAATATGCCGCAGCAGCAAACTTACCGACTGAGCTTGTGTCTGAGGCAACGACAGATACTACCGACGCTTCATTTGTGCTCTCCCCAACCTTTTTCTTACCCACGCCTGATTGTACCAAATGATGTTAGCGTGGTCCAGTAGCACTAGAAGTTTCACCCCACACAGAAAATGCTGCAAATTCTTAGTCGGATGGTTCTTTGAGTTAAAACCGATCCTAATGATCGTATGCTTCCACCATACAAGCGGTTCTTGTTAAGTGTAACTTGACCAAAGCTACCTGAAAGTTCTTCAAACTGCCAACCGACTTTGGCCGACGAACAAAAAGAGAACCTCTGCCTCATTCGAGCGAGTCTCGAATTTAAACGAGGATGATAGCATGATCCTCGAGCACTAGACATGTACGCGCTTATTTTTTCATTTATGCCATTCTCATAGTGTAACAGGGCAACCTTTTTTTGGGGTGCCACGAAACTCCATGTACACTAGTACGTGCATAGGAAGATAATCTACTCAACAACTAGGTTGAGTTAAGGGCAAAAAGAGAACTGTAATTAATATAGTCAAGCTATCAATATAACGTAAAGCTTTATCTTTCTATACTAAACTCCGTCGTCGCTTGACGAAAACCTGCTCAACTTTCATTGCGCGCGTCTAGCAGCGATTGAAGGTAATCTATGGTTGACATGTCTTACATCAACCAATCTTGGAGCAGCGCATGAAGATTATACAAAAAAGGATAAAATACCTTCATTGTTACACATCTCAGGTACTTAAGACGAAGGATTGTCAC